CCGACAATCTCATTAAAATGAAAACTTATGATTTTCATTCAATAGAAGAAAATAATCATTTTACTAAAATAAGCTAACATAATTTGATAATCCAACATATTTCCATAAAAAAAATATTACAAATTTATCCAATTTCATAACATTTAATGAAGCTTATTTCATAAAAACAGAATTCTTTAATTTTCTTTAGATTTTTTATTCAATGTTGTTGTTTAATTTAAGATTGAGGAAAATTGAGAATGAAAAATTAAAAATTAAAATCGTTAGAACAATACATTTTTTTACATAAACATGCAATAATTCGTAATGAATCAACTTTCAATATTCGCTGTAATTATTAGTCTGTTTTTTACTTTCAAATATTTATCAAAGTCTAAAAATTTATAAGGGTCTAAATTTTAGATTAAAAAATGCAAACATTTTCATGAAAAAAGTTCAATACTGTTAAATTTATGTATTTTAATAAAATATTTTAATTCTTATTGGAAGTCAAGGTTTTTTTTGTCTATTGGTACTTAATTTTAAATACAACTAAAAATGTAATAAATTTCATGGAAGAAGATAAATTTTATGAATATTGTGTATTTTCTTATTAATAATTGAATATAATTTTAAATTTAACAATTTACACTTGTTTTGGTATGGTCAAATTTTTATTAAACTTCAATTTTTTTTACATATAAAGAAATTTCAGCGAATATGTATAATTTCTTTTCGAATATCATTAAGTTAATTTTGTAATCAATTTACGTTAAAAATGAGTAATTGCTACACGTTTACCATAAACTAAACTTAATTAAATTGAATGAATTAAACAGAATTTTCTTTTGAATTAATTTGGGATTCGTTGAAACAAGTTTTGATTCATGCAAAATATGGTAAACTCTTAATTAGTACTTATATAAAGAAAATAAACACTGTTTTTTCTTATGATTGTTAAGTTGTCTTCAAGTAATCAGTTAAGAAATTTAGATTTAAATTTTAAATACATTTTCGCAAGTGACACTTCTTCTCAATGGAGGAATCATTCGATTGTTGAAGAACAACTCACTGTCAGAGAGGAACCTGGTTCTCTTGAAGCGAGTGATCGGAGTATTTCTGATTTCCGTGGACAAATCGATGGACCGGAATCTGCGAATTGGGACAGGAAATGAGTCGGAGATGTTCTGCAAGGAACTGTAATGGTATCGATTGAAGACGTAAGCTGCCGGGAGGATGGCTTCGATTTCGCCACCAATTTTGGCCACGAACACCGAGGAATGCGAAGTGTAGATGGGCGGTGGAAACGTTGGAATCTGTTCAAGATCTTGGCTCGATGCACCATCGCAGCGCGAACACGGACGCCTATAAATAATATCAGAAAAGTCGAAGAACAACAACAACTGTACGAAACGGCTCACTTATTATCTAGATGTCTCTTGGCAGCCTTCTTGCGATTCTTCTTCTCTTTGTTCTCCATTTTCAGCACGTAGTCGTAATTCGGCGGAGGCTCGTACATCGGCGGATCATCGGGTATAACGATCTCCTCCTCGGTCACGCTCATCTGTCCTTCATCTAAAACAACCGTGCAAACTACGAATAATAGCAACTAATTACAGCTTGGATAATCTCAATAACACCTAGCATATCGTTGATTGTTTGGAGGTGAGTCTGAAGGTGCCGTTGATTCCTGTTCCTAGCGTTCATTCTGCACAGCAAAACAATCAACGCGAAGATCAAGCTTATAAGACCAAAACTGCAGGCCACAAAAACAATCGTAGCTGTCTTCAAATAGGAATATCTGTCGCTCATCTTCGGGAAGAAAAAGTTAGGGGTATGAGACCATCGCATTTTTATCTTAGGCTCTGAAATAACGCATCAGTATAACAATTTTTTGAAGATAAAGGATGTAACTTGTAGTAAACCTTTGAGGCAATCTGTAGTTTCATCGCTGTTGTCGCCGCAATGATCGAAGCCGTCGCATATCAAATAAATAGGTATGCAACGAAAGTTTCTGCAAAGGAAATCTGAGCCTGAGTAGCAATCTGCAATGAAATTCCATTAATTTTTCGATCTTTGACCTTAAAATTCTTGAAACTGCCTTTATAGTTGAATGCAGAGTAAATGATAGCTATTCTTGATTCCGGACGGAAAATGCCTTTCAGGCTCACGTAGAATCCTTGAGCGATTGGCGCCACGTGCTCTTTCTGCTTTGATACTATGTAGTGCGATACAGGATACCTGAGAACTTCAACTATTGGTTCATTCGAGGTCATGCCTTGTCTTATAACCAATTCAGTACTTCCAGCTGAAAACAAATACATATTGAACAAAAATGTATTGACTTCAGAGATGAATGAAAAAGAGATATAAAGATCAAACTACTTCATAAATTAATCATTGAATCATTGAAAATTTACTATTTTTTGTTGACCTCTTATTTTCAAGAAAAACTTTTCTAGAACAACTTTATTATACTTGGCAAAGTAAAGTTGTGCTTAGATTTGTGCTAACATAAAAAAACGTTGATATATTCAAAATGAAAAAAGAAAATATCATTAATTTGATGATTTTCATGAAAGTAAGAACAACAACAAAACCAAAATTTATAATTAATTTCATCAAATCTTGAAACGTTTTGTGTAAACTGTACAAAATAACAGATTGTAAAAAAAATAAGTTAACTTATAAAGATGAGACTTAACATATTTATACAATTTTCAAAGTTAATATAAAATTTCTAATTAATTATTTGATTTTTTTTTTAATATAATTTAAATAAAATAAACGTTGCACAAAATGTTTTATACTTATTTAAAGACAAAAAATAAAGAACTGTAATAATATTGATAATGTTAAGAAGAAACCTACTATGTAAAACTTTGTCTTCATCAGCATTGATGGAAAATGTTATCAATTATTGATTGAAATCACGCATTTTCCTAAGAATTTAAAATATTTCTACGAAAATAGCTTTACAAAAAAATGAAAGGGATAAAAAATATTTCAATATAAATTTGCATATCCAAAAGATATTTTAACGTTGACTTAAACAGCCTTGAATCGAAAAATATACGTATTTTCAGGTTTTGTATATTTCATCTATACATGATTTTAAATAATTCAACTACATTAGTACAAAAACTAATTTCAGGAAGAGATATTATAATCAAAAGTTTAGAGAAAAAGAGAAATTGATGGCATTCATTCAAACATCTACCTAAAGTAGATGTCTAATTAAATCGTGTGAAAAGAGATAAAGAATTGTAATTGGAATTCATATTGATACCGAATAATCTGGTTTGTTTATAAATCGGCTTTGAACAGTATTAGGAATACACATAATTTCTTAATACCTCTTATTAAACTTCTTAAAGCTGCTACGGTTGTCATGTCCAGAAATCTAATTATTGATGTCAAACAAACATTCTAATCTAATTTTTCAATTGGATCTTAAATCCGCTCTTATGCAACTCAAACACTATTTATAAATAGCACTTATACAACTTCATCGTCTTCATACACGATATTAGGAATGTCTAAATGATAATATCAAAAAAACAATATTGTAACTTACCAAATTTCGAAAACAGGATTACTTTCAGATAAACCTGCGTCTTCAGATGCATGTAACTCTCCGGCGGTCGGATAATCCAAAAGCAATCGTAAGCTTTAGTGTTCTCCTGAATCATATCCATCATAGTAATTCCACCTCCCAAATTATCAACGTAACCACCACAATCTACAAGAATATTAGTAAAGTATTGTTCCAATAAATAGAACGCTAAAATAATACTAATTTCTTAAGAAATACTTTACCAGTATCAGGTTTCAAGGTCGAATTATCGTATTCTCCAAGAAGAAACATGTATGAGGCTTTAAAACCGAGATTACTGCCACCGTTTGCGTAAAACCTAATGACCAAAGTAGGACCGTTGCTGATCAAAATCGGAGGTCTGAAAATGTTGCCTGTTGTAACGTGCATCCTTTGTCCATTCCAATCGAAAAACTATAAGTTAAATTGAATCATAATTTGAAAAAAAAATCGCTGTTATTATTTATATAATTTTACTTCAATTAATGAGTTTGTTGCGATTTGGAAGTCCGAGAATATCAAGCGGATCCTGCAGTTCTCCGTCGCTTTGCAGCTGATTACGTATTCGGTGTTCAAATCTCTCGGGTAAAAGTATGGAAAGAAGGGCGAGGAAATGATCTGACTGCCGTTGTTCATGTTGCTCATTTGGGGATATCCTTCGTAGTAATTTCTATTTTCTTAAAATCATTAAACCATTAAGATAAGTACATTTGCAGTACAAATTTGCACTATGGAAAAAGAGAGTTGCCTAATTTGCACCGACACTTAGATTGGACCACTGTCATAACTTCTTTATAAATATCAATTTAGACAGTATAGATTTCTAATCTTAAATATGAATAAACAAAGTATTAAAATATGCTAGATTATCGTATTTCAACTTTTTTGTCGCGCCATCCAACATATTGAACTATAACCCGATTGTGTCTAACATATAATTTTTGACACTTTGACACAAGCTTACAAAATTATCGCGAATCAATTTTGATTTGCCACTTATATAGTTTACATAATTATCTACAATTTACTATAAATTTATGGTTAGGTGAAATATTTTAAAAAATTTGTATAATTTGCCCAATTTGTACAATAAAGCAACAAATTTGTACAAACAAGACAACATATTTGTACAAACAAATAATAGATTTGTCTTTTTGGTAATTTATTGGATAAAACAAAGCACGTCAAAACTGTATACAATGAATTTTCAACAAGAAAAAAGACAAATAATAGGTTTGTTCTATTGTTGTGATAAAACAAAGCATGTCAAACTGTATACAATGTTGCACTTGAGCCCAGACAAAGCTCTGTAGACTGAGTACAAACTCCAAAAAGTATTTTTTTACTTAAAATGAAATTAAACAAGTGGTCCATTCTGGGAAACCAGTTGCTTTGATTGTATCTATTGTTGCATTTTCCTCTTTGTAAATCTCAAATTTACATATATTTTTTTAATAAATTATATAATTTAGAAAGGTATTAATAGTAACATTCATTCCTTTTAATTAAAAAGAAACAATTTGGTAACTTTCATCATTCTAAACTATTTTACATATTCAATAGGTGCTTTTTCACTTACTTTCAGCAGAATACTCGAGGGTGAAAGCGTGCTGATGGACATCGCTGTAATAAAATGTGATGGCCGCAGACCTGGTTTGGCTTTTATAGATGAGATTTGTCCCGTTTGTCTGCATGTAATGTCCACAGAACTGCTCCCCAGAAACCTCTTCGAAGGGCGGCTCGTAAATCCAGACGTAATCGCATCCGCAACGATCCAATACCGAATTCTTGCCGCAGTTCCGTGAAATATTCAAGAAACTTCCAAGAAAATCACACTTTATCTTTCTTCCAACCCAATTAACTTACGTGAATTTGATGGTGACAACGCATGATGGACAAGTGATGAGTTCTAAGCTGCATTGTTTATGAGGCGTTGTATTATCTGAATTTTGGATGGTATTTGGTTGGTTCCTTGCCTCCAAGAATCCTCGATCGTCCAGCTCCAAGTAAATCCTTCTGCCATCGAACTTACCGCAGATTTCCTCATTCCTTGAAATTCTTGCTCCTACTTGTACAATTATTGTAAAGATTAATGCTAAAATGTATTTATTTTTCGGAATAAGTTTCAGATCGACGTGCATTTTGTGTACATCGCAAGGAACAAACTGAACTGGATGTTTGCAAATGCATGTGATTAATTTCATTAGTGAATCCTTACTGTATAATCTTTTTGCACTGAACGATTTTTAAATCAATAGCATTTATTCTATTATTGTAAACTCAACATAGAAAAATACATAGAAAAACTTGTTCTTTTTTTATAAGTATGATCGAACTGAACTCTTGCAATCTGTTTATGCAATAAATAAAAAAAAATTACGTAATTTTCGAGATAACAAAATTTCGCAAAAAAAAATGCTCTAAATTTCTATAACTTTCAGCAACTTTCAAACCCGAAATAGTGAAACTACATTTTTTTTTCATTTGAAACATGACAGTTTCCAGTTCACTATTCTTGTTGAATTATATAATTATCCTGCATAGTTATCCTAAAATGAATGAAAAAGGTGAAAATGTTCCTTTTCAGCAAAGACATTTTTAACAGCTCATATCAAACGAACGGATGACAGCAGAATAGTACGATCGTCAAAAAGACAAGTATTCGATGATCTAATTAGCTGGTACATAATAAACATTATGTAACTTTTGAGTAATTATGAAAATACTGATAACTCGTCGGAGCGTAAGACGAAGAAAGTTCATCATTTTTCGAATAATTGATAAAAATCAAAAAATTTAACATAATTTTTGTGAAAATTACTCAAAATACGCCTAATTTTTCAATAATTTACAGGAAGATTCAAAATCTATATATTGATTCTAGAATTGTTTCAGTAGGTTCATTCGAAAGGCGACGAATTCCAGTTTAATATTGTTGTTGAATCATATAATTATCCTGCGTATATCCTAAAATGAATGAAAACGTGAAAATGTACCTTTTCAGCAGACATATTTGACAGCTCATATCAAACGAACAGATGACAGCAGAAAGCTGAAAGCAGGCTCGTTAAAATGACGAGATTTTCAGCTTTAATTTAAGTATTCGATGATATAATTAGTTAATAAACATTATGTAACTTTCGAGTATTTAGGAAAATAAACTGATAACTCGTCGGAACGTAACGTTATACAATATAACGAGTTCCTCAATAAAATAAGAAAGTTCATTATTTTTCAAGTAATTAACAAAAATCAAAAAATTTAACAAAATTTTCGTGAAAATTGCTTAGAATACGCCTAATTTTTCACTAATTTTCAGGAAGATTCAAAATCGAAATATCGATGTTAGAATTGTTTCACTGGGTTCATTCGATAGGTGACAAATTCCAGTTTACTATTCTTGTTGATTTATGTAATTATCCTGCATAGTTATAATGAAAACTTAAAAACGGAGCATTTTCAGCAACAACACTTTTAACAGATCGTAGCAGATGATTGTCTGATAGTAGAAAGCAGTGATCTTGTTGGAAAGATGAGACTTTCAGCTTTAATTTGATTGCTTATAATTTAATTATCTCGCGAAGTTCTCGAGAAATTTAAGAAAGAAGAAACCATCGAAAATTGTCGTTTCTGGATTACGCAGTGAATTTTCAGGTACTTGCAAAATCGAAATATTGAGGCTATAAAAAAATGGTCACTCCCATTATAAACTTATTTCTTGAGTGATAACTACATCTTTAAATCATGAAGGAAAACTAATTTTGGATGTTATTTAGTGTTCATTGCATCTAAAGATTGAAAGAAGTTGCCTATCCGCTGAGTTGTAAATTGGCGCGAAAAAAGGTTGTTGATGTATTAACCTTAGTCAAAGTGGAACGTTGATTTTTCAGTTATAAAAGTGTATAAATAAATAAGGAAATGGGAGAGTATACAGAAGAGCTTTTACAGGAATTACTTCCATTATTTTATAGCCGTCTATTTCCTTGCAATTCGTTCTACAGATGGTTATCATATGGTTAGTGCATTTCAATAATATTTTATATACAAGCTGAATTAATGAATTTCTCAGGAAGCTCAGCAACATTCAAGCTCAGAGAGTTATCTTTCACCCTACTTGGAGACATCTATATTCGATATCAATCATTTGAAAGTATGGAAAATTTCAGCAATGAACTGAACAAACACAAACCGATCAAAATAGATATTGGTGCAATATACAATCACCCACCAAAGTACAAGACACAAATACAAAAGTTTGGTCCTGTTGAAAAAGAACTGGTGTTCGATATTGATATGACTGATTATGATGATGTGAGAACTTGCTGTTCAGGGACAGACATTTGTTCTAAATGCTGGAAGTTCATGGTGTTGGCTTGTAAAGTATTGGATGCAGCCTTGAGAGAAGACTTTGGGTTCAAACATATGCTTTGGGTATTCTCTGGTAGAAGAGGTGTCCATTGTTGGGTTTGTGATGAGAATGTTAAGAAGTTCACTGATGAGGAGAGGAAGGCTGTTGCTGAATATTTGTTTGTTAAAAAGGATGGCCACAAAAATATATTGTTTGGAGACAAGATACATACATCATTAAGGTAAAGGTAAAAATATAACAGTTTTATATAAATTAAAGTAAAATGTTTCAGGAGAGCTTTGACCATTATAAAGCCCTACTTCAATCAAATGATGTTTGTGGAGCAGAACATCTTAGGAACAGATGAAGGTATTAAAAAATTCCTGAAAAACATCCATGAAGAAATTAGGATACAATCTGAAGAAGTGTTAAGATCTGTGGAAGGATCTGAAGCCAGATGGAAAGTGTTCTGTGATTACTTCAGAACATTATCACAAAAGGTATTTAACTCTATCACTAACAAATAAAAATAAATTTTGAAAAATTTGTTATTTTTTGCAGCAAAGTATACCAAAAATTTATAAAAATACAATTGAAGAGTTGATGTTGCTTTACTGTTATCCAAGGTTGGATATTAATGTATCAAAAGGTATAAACCATTTACTGAAAGCGCCGTTTTGTGTGCATCCAAAAACTGGAAAAGTCTGCATACCATTCAATCCGAAAACTGTGGATAAGTTCGATCCTGCTACTGTGCCGACTTTAACACTCTTAGTAGATGAAATTAATAAGTATGATCAGATCACTAAAGAGGAGGAGATGGCTGATGGAGTCAACAGCAGCAAAATCAAAGACTACAAAAAAACGAGTCTCTTGAAATCTATTACTGTTTTCGAAGATTTCTTAAGGAATATTGAGAGAGAACTGAAACAGAAAAGAAAACCAAGTAAGTTTCACATTTCAAATTTAATATTTAAAATCTAATTTTGGAAACATTTTAGCGCCCATGGAGTTTTGAGATCAAATATTAACACACATTTCAATGTTATTTCTATTTAATAGTTTTATATTTATTTTTTTTACTTCTCATTAAATAATTAATTTAAAAGTACTCTTACCATTTATTTATCTAGTATACTACATTTGAAGATCATTTTAATCAAATTTAACACTAGTAAAAACCATAGTTTTATCTTTAATTTCCACATTTAAGAATCTAACAGACATTAGAACACTGAAAAATCAATAATTGAATTGACAATAATTGAAAAATTTGCATTATTCGAAATTAAAAACATACATGAACTATTAGAGTAAGATTGTTTCAAAGGTCATATTGATTGTCATTAGAAAGGTTATAGTTTTATCTTAAATTTATATACTCAATGATCTAATTAGAGTGCATTAGGTTGTTGAGTAATAAAATTAAATATGAAGACACTTCTTTTCAAGCACGAATTTTATTGCTCAACTTTAACATCTTATAATAACCGACGTCAAACTTGACAGTATTCTCATTAGAAAGATCATAGTTTTATCTTAAATTTGTATACTCAATGGTCTAATTAGAATGCATGGTTGAGTTATAAAATTAAATATGAAGACACTTCTTTTCAAGCTCGTATTTTCTTGCTCAACTTTAACATATTACGTCAAACTTGACAGTATTGTCATTAGAATGATCATAGTTTTATCTTAAATTTTCATATTCAATGATCTAACCAGAATGTATGGTTGTTGAGCAATAAAATTAAATACGAAGATACTTCTTTTCAAGGTCGTATTTATTGCTGAACTTTGATATCATATATTATAAAAATATAGATAACTAAATAAATCATGTTTTTTTTGTATTTAATTATGTAATACTATCTATGGTTGTTGCAACAAATGTTAATAATTGAATGTTGTATTTAAAAGGTATATATATAATTTATATTTTCATACAATATAATAGTACACAATGTTTTTTTTACACAGGAAATAAAATATAATAAATTCAAACAAAAGAAAACGAATTTCAATTTAACACAATTTCTCATCTACTCTTAAAGCTAACTCTTTTTTTTACAACATTGTGCTTAACATTAAAACTCCAGTACAAATAGTATATGTTAATATATAAGAGTAATATAACTTGATTTATATCTATAGAATAATACTTAAATAAATGCAACAAAAAATAAATAGACGGATGCACATGGAACCAAAAATCTGTAATTCTCGTTCGAGTAGAGTAACAAAAAGAAAACGTGCTGCAAAATCCGTCTATCTCGTAGACTTTATATTGGTCGTATATGTAATATAGAGCGAAATAAAAGATTTGTGAGTAAATATTTAAAAATTCATCGCAGTATGATCCATGAGATTTTTGATCAAAGATCCAGCCATTCTACAACAGAAAAAAAACAATCATTATAATAAGATTAGTGAGTAAATTGAATTAATATGTCTTTACTTTTTAACCATGTGATCATAGAGCATGCTTGGGATTATTGTGACGATGATCGTCGCGCCTGCATCGTCGATCAATTTCGAAATGTCCTTATCCTTCAAACCAACGACGTTTTGTCCTTGAACCTCGATGACCTGATGATTGATCAAGAGACCGTTTCGCGCCGCCGAAGAGTCCTTAACGATGCTCGTGATTTTACCATTCTTGAAGAGGAAACCAACGTGATTGGTGCTGTCTTTGTGCAGAGTGATGGTGCGTTCGAATGGTCTATCTCGTACGACTACATTGATCCCATTCACAGGGCTCTTCTTAAGCAACTTATGGACTTTGTCCATCGAATAGCCGGCTACATTAACCCCATTGATTTGCAGAATTTGATCGCCGAATCTAAGACCGACCATGGCGGCCGGAGATTTATCCACGACCAAACACACGAAAATCCCGTTGTCAATATCCTTCACCCTCATTCCAACCTTGTCATCTGAACCTTTGCACATCACAAGCTGCAATCTTTCAATTAACTCTTAATTCAATTTATATAACAACAATAGTACCTCTCGGATGCCATTGGTCACATTCACTTTTTGCAAGTGTCCGGATATTGGGGCAACAAGACCTGAATATGCTGGAGTATACTAAAAACAAAGCATAATTAACAACTAATTCATTTTAGTTTTTTTTTTAATTATTCAATCATTACTGTTTGTAAATCAGTTGCATATTGTGGCATATTCGCTTCGACAACAGCTCTGCCCAATTCCAATCCCATGTATTCACCAAGAGAAGGATACAATGATGTTGGTGTTCCTGCATCAGGACTCTGTTGGATCTGCGGGGGGACAGCCTGTGCCTCTGCTTGGATTTGAGCCACAGCCATTTTGCACACCTTCATTTCCTCCAAACTCGGATACAAAGCCATCTAATAAATAAATAAATATTAACAATTATAATAAATTCACAGTTCAAATAGTAATTAAAATTGGAGTAATAGAAGATAAGAGCTAATGATAAGGCAGGAAATTGCAAAACATTATGAAAGATTGACTTCAATTGAAAAACATTCCATTAGAATTGTTGGGGATAAATTGGAGTTAATCACGTTGCACTTTATTATAAAATACGTGCAATTTTAATGTTATTGATTGCTATAAATAGTTGGAAAAGATTTTCACTTGCCTTTGATTATCTTTCTTTTTTTATGCACAGAACAGGACACGAAGAACTTTGTTTAATGTATAACGCGAGTGTAAAAACCCAAGAGCCGATGATGAAGAAATGACTCACTGCCTGTCAACTAAACTCAACTCTTTTATTGCTTATTTTGTTGTTGTCCTCTCGTTTGTGTATCTTATCAACTGTCAAATAAATTCCACTGACTGAGAGGAACAGATATGCGCATGCATTTCGTTACTTTGCGCATGCGTTGATAAGATAATCTTACCCGCGAAATTTGAATATCCGCATCTTGCGCATTAACAAGGAATTCGTAACAATAAGTTTGGGACAAGAGCCAAGGAAGTACTGCGTAAATATTAGACTTTAATAATATTTGGCAATGTCTTTTTTCTAATATGGAGTAATTCAACAAAACGCTCAATAATTAAAATTACTAAACAATTGATACTTTATGAAGTGCACAATTCAAATCTCTCTATCTTAAGTAATAAAATATATTAAAAGTCTCAATCAGAAGATATGAAACTAGAACCTGCTTTATATGTAATAAGAAACAATTCAAAAATTTGCCCTTTCCATTTTCCTCATTCCAAATAGTTAAAATTTCTCTTAATTAAAAATGTTTATCATATAATTAACGACTATTTAATCACACAAACTTATCGCTAATATCGCGAATATTCAGAACATGATTCTTCATAAACTTGATAGTTTTTCCTTTCTCAATATTCCTCTGCAACCAAACTGAAATGATACTGTGATCCATTTGTTATCTGGCCACTGCGGTGACGTTCCTTAGTACATCGGCAAATAATTTGAAATTTCAAACAATAAATAACTTTGGCATATATGTTGCCTATATTTACTTTATCATTTTAAATAGTTTTTATTGATTTAACGTCGTTGCCTGCGTCCGTTGCTCTTTAACTTATTTATTATTGATATTGATGTTACGTTGGTGGACGGCGTAGACATGTTGGTCTACGCAGATGACTTTGTTATCTACGGGAGCGGAGCTAACATATATAAACTGGTTGCTAAGGTGGAAAGATGCCTAAAGAATCTACTTAGTTTCCTGAAAAATAAAAACTTATCTTTGTCAATGGAAAAAAACAAGGTGCGTTCTTTTTTCACGAAGTTCTCCAGTCTACGTCCCGCCAATCAGATAGTTGGAATGGGTTGGAGAAATTAGATTCCTGGGAGTGTGGCTGGATAGTAAACTAGCTTGGAAGAGACAGCTGGAAAATACTCAAAAAGCATGCGAAAAGGGAATTAATATGCTCAGAGCAATTTCGGGCATTGACTGGGGGTCAGGTCCATTGACTATGTTGATGTTCTACAAATCCTTTATTCGACCTAGACTGTAATACACCGGATTTATTTATTCGTTTTGTGCTAAATTTAAAATTCAGTCTTTGGAAAGAATACAAAATAAAGCTCTGAGAATAGCACTTGGCATCCTCCGTACCTGTCCAATTGACTCTCTGCACGTTGAAGCTGGTGTTGTTCCCCTGAGTATCAGACGGGAGAGCAGTACTAAGAAATATATGTGTAAATTAATGTCCATCCAGAATACACCTGTGATAAATGCGATACGTCGGGCATCTTTTTTGTTTGGAGCTAAGCCCTTCTGGCCGAGCAAGGGAATGCCCCTTTTAATTGAAATTTTTAACATGATGAGCCAATGGGAGTACCGCATATATAAGCATACGATCAAAGACTTTTTTGGCCTACCTGTAAATGTTCGCTCCAAAAAGTGGAATGAGGGTAGATTTTATGAACAAGTGCAATGTGAATGTTCCAGTGCAGTCAGCTTATACAAAGCTTCCTGTTTTTCTTTTATAAATGTGGTGTGGTCTGGTCATGTGCATATCTACACAGATGGTTCAGTGATACATGACCCCAGATCTTCTGCCTATGGGATTTATATGATGGCGAAGGCCTATCTGAGAGCGGAAGGATTCCAGAGGTTTCCTCGATATTCACAGCCAGTTATATGCAATTTGCATGGGCACTAAAACTAATTGAGAAA